GTGACCAAGAAGCCTGCAAGCTCTCAGTCTATATCAGAATTTGCCACGCTGTGTCGAGCAACCACCACATCTGTTGTACAAGTACAAGTCTGAGTGGCTGCCTTTGCCGCGCTGTGTCGTAAGTCAAATATTGACATTTTCCCCTTGTACCTGGATGCCTACTTCCCTTGTCATAGATAGATGTCGCTGCCTCTATGACCTTGAGTAAGTCAAAAATTGACCTTTGACCTGTTGTACTTTCCAACTTATAATTTTAAGGTCATCAGCTGACTTTTAAAAAATTACCGTTACCATATGAGAGATTTTAAACAATAGGTGAAAGGACATTTGTACATTCAAGGCCCAAGATCTGGAATGCTTTGCACTGTAGAGAAAGAGAGATTAAATCTTTTTAGTCCACCTCCGAAATTGTCTAAATAGCGTCGACGGGAGCGCAAAAACTTACAGTTACTTTTTTACGCTACTTCCCAGAAATGTATGTTTGACTGATGGTATGTTTTACACCCCAATGGTACGATTTAGGTCATTCAGGAGGTGGGCTACCTCGAGCCTCCGACCCGGGTTGTGTGTGATACAACGTGCCAGCTGACAGACGGAGAGATAGGCAGTAGTGACATTTGGATGACTTCTTAATTCGAGAAGAAGAAGAAGAAGAAGAAGAAGAAGAAGAAGAAGAAGAAGAAGAAGAAGAAGAAGAAGAAGAAGAAGAAGAAGAAGAAGAAAAAGGATAAGAAGAAGAAGAAAAAGAAGAAGAAGAAGGTTGGGGGGGGGGGGGGGGGTCGCCTGGTTTCAAAGTTAGAATTAGCGAGAAAATGACCGCCAAAGTTTTGTTATTTCCATAGCTTGATAGTCCGTGGAACTGGAAATTGAAACTTGAATTTTTAGTGTCTACGTTTTTTAAAGTAAAAATCCACCGAGAAATGTGTTCTTGATTGGAAAACAATGGTGTAAAGCCATGATAAAACAAAAATTCGATAAAAATTACTGTTTCATTATTTTGACGAGTGCCTGATTTCACCACGCTGCTTCACATATTGTTAATGACATATTATATGATGTGTATGCTGTGTGAAATTATTTATCATATTCTCTATTGTTATCATAATCATGTTATTGTAAAACCAAATAAATAAATGTTCTTGCGTGTGTCGGATATTTAAAGACAAAAAAATGATGTTTCTTTTTTCTTTCTTTCACCTTCTTTGCCTCGCTCTCCAGTCCTGAGACACGGCATGGTTTGTTACACGTCAGTACTCGGATTGACTGACACATGGTGTTTTGCGCTTCTATTGGCACAGTTGAGGTCATTTAGGAGACGGGCCGCTTCGACCATGTCAATATTTGAGGAGTCCATTGAAAAAACCCAAAACGGGCACAATCACAAACTGAAAGTCGTGAGGGAATCAATTTTGAACACTTGTTGACTCATAACTCTATCTCTGTTCAGCTGTTGGTTGATTATTGTTGTTATATATTTCCCAGCCAACAAACATACAAAATAAACCACCAGTCAAACAAATATGAAGTCATGAGTCCACAAGCTTTATAATTTCCAGTTTGTGGCTATGCTTGTTTTTCAGTTTTTTGTTTTAGTAGAAGTTTTAGGGCGCTCGCAACTGCATTAGGTCATATGAGCGCCAAGGGGTGGATGTCAACAGAGAAGTCCGTACGTTTTTTCAGTGGGCTCCTCATTTTCTTATGTGGGTGTTTTACGCCCCCTTAGATACAATTTAGATCATCTGTCTGAAGGCGGGCTTCTGACCCTGCCTGTCGGGGCCAACCCGGGCTGAGAGGGATGCAACATTCCAACAGAAAGACCGAGGTACTCGATAAAAAATCCTCCCTACTCGGGAATCGAACTCAGGTCTCCCGTGTGCCACAGCGAAGTGTCTAACAACCGCTACACCACAGACGCTGGTCGACCCTGTACTAGTAAGAGTTTTACGGCACTTGCAACACAATAAGCTCATATAAGTGCCGAAGATTAGAGGTGTTACAAGTGAGTAACAAACATAAAAAAGGAGGAGAGATAAGGACGATAGATGTTTTTAAAAAAATATAGTAGAGGTTTTACGGCGCTCGCAACTGCATAAGGTCATATGAACGCCAAGGGTTGGGTGTCAACAGAGAAGTCTTTACAGGGAAGCAGACTTACTCTGCTCACCTCTCTAGCTTCAACAGCACAAAGTCTGTTTCAACTTTCAAAGCACCCCGGAAATAGCGGGTCACAAGAGTGTGATAAACATACAAAAGAAGTAGAGGAAAATGACGATAGTAAGGATGAGGAAAGAAAAAGCAAGAGTTCCCTGTTGCAGTTCAGGCATAGTTATGAGCATGACATTGTTGAATCAGCCCATTTACAATTCTACTGGTGCATTAGAGCGAGAAATGTCCTCCCTTTGGGAATGGCCCAAAGACACTTCGGTCAGTGGTACCGCCCCGGGGGGTTAGACCTCTGTTTCTGTTGGACATGATCTTTGTTTGAAAGAGAGAAGCACATCGATGAGTTAAACAATCATTTAGTGAAGGGAAATAGTAAGACAGACATGACCAACAGACAGACAGAAAGAAAAGAAGGAAAGAATAATGTCTTCTGGAGTAAGACTGTACTACGGTCATCATCATCATCATTGCCTTTCTCACCCTGCATCAGGGTATAGGCCACGGACAAACACCCTCCACTTTTCTCTATCCTGGGCTAGCCTCTTGATGTTATTTCATGTCTTCCCACTTTTCTGTACATCGATTTCTGTGATTCTTCTCCAAGTTCCACGAGTGTACTACGGTACAAGTACTACAAATAAAGAAGTCACAAAACACGGCCATGACAAGAAACAGTTTACTGACTTCTCAAATCCTTTCAGCAGTCCCACAAAGAAATGAAAGCACATGTCCAACTTTGACAAGAGGATTGCATAACATACAGTATACACCTGTAAAACCATACAACAAATAAATAGTTTTAGATGGCAAGGAAGTATGATGAACAAAACAAAATAAAATAAATGTGTAGCGTGCTGACAGAACGGGTGACTTCTCAGGTTCGAGCATTGCATAACATACAGTATACACCTGTAAAACCATACAACAAATAAATAGTTTTAGATGGCAAGGAAGTATGATGAACAAAACAAAATAAAATAAATGTGTAGCGTGCTGACAGAACG